GTGAGAAAACCCCTTGCATGGGGACTGACATAAAAGGCCGTGTGTGGCTCCCATTAAAAAGAACGCGTTACCCCTTCATGAAGTCTAGGCTCATGTTTAGGGGACTGGTGAGCTATATTCACTCTTGGGATTGATATAATCACTATACTCCCTTGGATTACAACACTTGCTCTTGTAAGAGCAACCTGCTTTGCTCTCTGGACTAGGAAAGGTCTACCCACTGGATGCTGGATCTTGGTGTTGGATCCAGGGTGGGTGGAGGACAGCGAGACCCCAACCAAGCTGTAATGTTGGCTGTGGGGTTTACGGTGGTTATGGTGTCTGGTGCGGTGCTTATGGTACTCAAGGATTACTAGGAAGCAGCGATTGTCAGAGGTACCAAGTCGGGGTGCCAGGCGGTGGTCACAACTGCATCTCCTTACTCTCAGTGTCAATGAGAGCTGGAACTTACGAAAATGTTGCCCTGAGAGCACTAACTAAGACAAGTTTTAGACAAAACCTGCCCCAATGGATATAATATTTAATACGTGGGTTAACAGCTTCTTGATCCAAAAAGAGATGTGACTGCCATTCTGGAGTCAAGAAGGAATTAGTTTCCTAATGTGTTGCAAATTAAAAAGAGCTTCAAACTGTTGGTGTTTTTTTTGCCTTCTTTTGGTCAGCGTCCATTTATTTTCACAGACTACTGCAGCTCTGCAGGTTGGAGATGTAGGAGCTAGGCATGTGCATGGGTACATTTTTCGGTTCGGTTCGGCATTTCCGAAATTCGGGACTTCGGCAATTCGGCACTTCGACACTTCGGAAATTCAGTAATTTCGGAACTTCGGGACCTCGGGACCTCGTCAATTCGGCACTTCGGCAACTTTGGCACTTCGGAATTTCGGAACGTCTCTTGCTGCCGCTTGGTAGATAACTCCCTAATTTCCACGGTATTAGGGAGTTATTTACCAAAAGGCTGAAAGACCTAAATTGGTCTTTAAGCCAAATTTACTAATACTAAGTAAAGATTACTTAGTATTAATAAATTGTGCCCCTACTCGCTATACCGCGAGTAGGGGCATGTCTATTAAACAGTGAGCAGCCAGTGTTTAATAGACATGCTCCGACTCGCGGTATAGCGAGTAGGGGCATAATTTACTAATACTAAGTAATCTTTACGTAGTATTAGTACATTTGACTGAAAGACCAATTCAGGTCCTTTAGCCTTTTAGTAGATAGCTCCCTAATACCGTGGGAGTTAGGGAGTTATCTACTTATTCATTCCTATCATTACACTGACTGGCCAAGTAACTTACATTTTATATGAATGTATGTTACTTGATTGTTGTAAGTGTTGCAAATGCTTCCAGCTGAATCCTGGCTATGTTTGTATACTTTTTATTTAAAATTGTATACAGTGTAACATTCTTCTTCTTCCACTGGGTAAGTATATTAGTACTTAGGCAATACTGTGCTTCGGAACTTTGGCAATTCAGCACTTTGGAACTTCTGCAACTTTGGAACTTCGGTAATTTCGGAACTTTGGGACCTCGTAATTCGGTATTTGGACATTCGGAATTCATATTCTGCCCGAAACGAATTGCACATGTCTAGTAGGAGCAGTAGGGAGGATTTGACATCCCTTATTTACTAATACTTGTTAGTAATTAGTAATTAGCATTAGTAAAGTTGTCTAAAGGCCAAAATTACACAAAGGAATTTTGATGTTTCAGCTACTTGGTAGATAGTTCCCTAATCCTTGTGGGATTGCCATAAGGATACCAAAAATGAGCTATCTACCAAACAACTCCATAATTTGGTAACTTTAAAGGAGCACTATAGGGTCAGGAACACAAACATGTATTCCTGACCCCATAGTGTTAAAACCACTATCTAGCCCCCTTGGCCCCCTTTGCCTCCCTAAAGATAGTAAAATCTTAGTTGTATTCTGCCTCTGCCTGTGAACTTCCTCTGACCTCTGACATCATCAGAAGTAGTGGCCTGATCCAATCACAATGCTTCCCCATAGGATTGGCTGAGACTGACAAGGAGGCAGATTACGGGCAGAGCCAGCATGATTCAAACACAACCCTGGCCAATCAGCATCTCCTCATAGAGATGAATCAATGAATCTCTATGAGGAAAGTTCAGTGTCTGCATGCAGAGGGAGGAGATACTGAATGTTTGGATGCATTTTAGGCAGCCATGACCCAGGAAGGATCTCTAACAGCTATCTGAGGAGTGGCCAGTGAAGTTATCACTAGGCTGTAATGTAAACACTGCATTTTCTCTGAAAAAACAGGGCTTACAGCAAAAAGCCTGAAGGTAATGATTCTACTCACCAGAATAGAGCTGTAGTTGTTCTGGTGACTATAGTGTCCCTTTAAATATGGCAATCCCACAAGGGTACCAATTTAGGGAGTTATCTTCTAAACGGCTGCAAGATGCAGCCACTGCCCCATCGCACAGATCGGAATTTCATTCATCCGAATGAAATTTCTAAACAAAAGTAATAACCGAATTTCAAATAGATGAAAGTCGGTTCAGACAAAACTAAATTAATTTTTTATCCAAATGTGTTCAGACGAAATGAACATTTTGCCAGCGCCCAGGTCTACTAAAGAGGATTCAGCCCACTGTGCTATCACAAAGGGATTCAATACCATTAGCAAACTGAGCAATATCATGCCTTCGTGTATATGATTATGTTGAAGCCAATGTTATTCGAAGCAAGCTATTGTTACTAGATTGTATTATTGTATAGTATTGTATGAGATTTATTATATCTGATTTTGTTTTAGGAAATCTAAGGATTTTTTGTGGAAAAATAAAATGTTTCACATCTGTTGTTAAGCTATAAAAATGGCCAATTTGTCACTCTTTGCATGTTTTAAGATAGACTTATTTCCCTCATCCCATGTTCTATTCCTGCATTATGACCCTTTTCCACTTATATTCCAGCCTTATACACCTAACACCTTGATATAATCCAGCCTTATTGTTTCTATTCTTTCTATTTCCTCCTCTTCCCTCCATTACCTGTAGAGATCCAGGGCTAATTGAGTCCCAAATCAGGGGCTTTAGTCCTTATAGCCAGCCACTAGAAAGACCTATGCTCCCCCCTAACATTAGTAGTTAGGCTTGACCAGGCCTTGCCCAACTTCCCAAATGGCCACGCCACTCTAGTCGCCAGGATTAAATAGATGGGTGTTCTACGTTGCTGGAAATGTAATGGATTGGCACCACTGAAAATGACCTCAGCCCCCAAGACAGTCAGACTCTTTATTGAGCTATTGGCCTTACCCCACTTAATGGTGTCCACGATTAGCAGAGCCTTTAATATTATAGCTGCAAAGTGTGACAAACTAATATATCAGGAGAAACCGGCAGATCCGACTATTGCTAGGGGCAAGGATAGTTGGACTGCAGCAGGATTTAGAACCATACTGGGGATAATTGCTGAGCAATGTGTAAAAAATGTTAAAAAGTCAGGAGCATCTTAACATAATATAGGACAAAATATATAGTTTCATGAGAAACAGTCAACTGAAACAAATTCAATTATGGATGTAACTTTTTTGGAATTCACCAGTTCTGTCTTTTACTTCTTTAAAACACCCTGCATTTTAAATAAATCAGGCTGTGAGCTACTGAGAGCTTAAAGGGATAAACTCCGCACCATAACCGTTACAGCACACTGCAGTGGTTTTGGTACCAGGAATCCAATGACAACGTCCAACTGTTAACCTTCAAACCATTTGATATGGTCAACCTCCATTTTACCAAACCAGCTCAGAACAGAAGGACCATGAACGTCCAATAGAGGCAAGCAGTATGGAGACCTACTAAAGTGGCTATGGTGCTTAGATTATCCTTTTATTACTTCACTATTTCTAATTGCATCTGAAGTTAAACTAAGTATACTGCCCCTTTAAAATATATTTAAACTATCTACATCTATGCAGCAACTGAAAGGAAGAAAATGTTTAAGATTTTAATTCCTGAACTCTTATGATAACATAAATAAAATATTTAGATAAATAAGGAAGATGTCTGAACAAGCATCTGTTTTCACTTCCAGTGTTACAACTTTAATTGACTTAGAATAACACATTATTATTCTAAACAATCCATAAAATGTCAAACAGTCAGAAAGTACACAAATCATAGTTTCACTCTTAATCAAACCGATGGTGTCTGTGTAATTCCTACAGCTTATTGTTAACCAAATTTTACTGAACCGCAAGCTTTGCTGGTCAGATTTAAAGGTGGAAAGTAAGGGACTTTTTGGAGTGAATATCTATGTCAATGATTTTTAACCTTTTATTGACAGGGACTCAAATTATATGTATATAAAGAAACTTGGCATCAAATTTCTGCAAGAATTTGCATTAGACTCTTCTCAGTGTTAAAGGAGCCTCTTCCGCACTGAGGAACACAGTACTGCTACAGTAACTAACGAATGGTGTCAATTTCAGTGGGCCTGAAAAAAATCTAGCTTGTTGTAATCGTTGGGGACCCAATGAGAAATTAGCTTGAGGGGCCCAGTTTTGGTTCCTGATCAAGGGATTTGGAACCCCTACTACAAATTTAATTTCTTGTTAAATTTGTGGTTTATTCACAAACCCCCCCCAAAAAACTGCAGGGGGGCAGGGCTTGACCACCAAGCCGATCGGACACATCTCAACTGAGCTCCGATGGCATTGGTGTTAACACGTGAATTAGGCTACTTAACTCTTATCTCTGTGAGCCTCCATGACTTGCTGAGACCTAGTGGGCTCCAGACTTGCCACTTCCGAATTCTGAACTTGGTGGTTCTCATCCACAGCGGAACTGCGGCCTACAAGTTGCATACTTGAAGTGTCGTGGTGGACACGGCCGATCCCTCTGCCACTAAATTCTCTGAACCGCAGTGCCTGCCTGGGGCTATTCTCCCCTCCCCCCTCCTGCCGATGAGTGTTATCCCGGGACTTATCTTTGACATCAAGCTAAAAATCCTGACAAACAGGCTGCAATGTGCAATGGTGGATTGCAGCTACTTACCTGACACTGGACACCAGGCATCTTCCACTTTGGCCAAATTATACCAATTGTTTGCTGACTTTTGGTCCAAGCTCCAGAGAAGGCAACATCCTCCGATAACCAATGGGCTGGCTCGCACTCTGGCTGCACTTCAGATACCGGGGACCCCTCCCAGGCTCCCAGGGAGGAGAACCCATGCAGGGCCAAAGGTTTATGCACCTCCAAGGAGTCTGATGCGCTCCCAAAGAAGAAACACTGCTAGAACAATGCGAGCCCCTGTCTCCAAGCCACGCAAGAACCTGCAAGGATCGCAGCAGGTCTCCCTGACGACCATTAAGAGATCTGGGGGCTGCCGTGCACGATCCCGGAGAGAGGTACCTAGCGCAGGAATGGCGCCACAGCACCTTCTAATCTGATGGTACCCTGTTCGACTCACTGGCACATCTCGGTCTGGGTCGCTGACTCATTGGCTACAGGATCTACCAGGAGGCTACGTGCCACCCAAAACAGGCATGGGCTGATCAGGACTCTAAACACAGGCCAGGTGCTATGTTTTATTTTTTTCTGTTTCATTACTGGATTTGGAGTTCCTAGGCCTGACGACCTGTCTTCCACTGGGTAAGGGGGGACATTGTGTTCCCCTTACCTGTATGGTTTTTCGTTTATGTTTAGTGGCATTTTGGAGTTTTGCTACCCTGGTTCCAAGTTTTTTCAGATTCTTTAGAGCAGGGGCCACCAAACTTTCAATCCCAAGTTAGAATCAACACTCTCATGAAGCTCTGGCAAATATTTGTGGTAATTGCAGTGATACCATAACTGAAGATTTTGGGCACACCTGTTTTTGAGAAGTGTATAATTTGGTATGTACCTGTGCTATTTCCGATGATCTGTCCTTGTTTTGTCGTAATTCCGGATAATTCTGATAATAGTTACTGTCTGTTTATGAGTTAACGTTACCTCCTGTGATTTTGCTGTGTTGTAATCTCAAGGCGTACCATCGTGCTTATGAAACTGTGAACAGAAAACTATTTTGTTCTTCGAGCCAAATGAATTTATTAGAGATTTCTCTGAAAAAAAAAAAAATTCCTATATTCAGAAGAAACCAAATAGCCTGGGGGACAAAGCTCTGTTTTCAACATGTGATTTTTTTTTAAATTGAATTGCGTTAGCTTAGCTGCAGTGGAATGAGTCATCGACACAAGAACTGCATGAGATTTAAAAAAAAAAAAAAACACATTGAAGAATAGCTAAAGGCATGTATGAGACAGCAATGTAATTATCTGTTAAGAGGCTGAGGAAATGTACTTCAAACCTATTTTAGCCTGGCTGACATTTATAAATAAATATATCTTTATGAAAGAGGGTGTTTAACATCACCCACTGCCAACTGATAGTGTGGGGTAGGCATTACGTGTTAGCATTTTAAGTCATTTTCTTTGAGTGTAACATACACTAAATTCTTTTTGTCCATTACGTTCAGTTATTCACTGAAGTGTTAACTTTTAGGGATTCAAGTCAATTCAGGCACGATTATTTAATATACTTTAAACCAAATTGCTAAATTTGTGACTGTAACTGTTGGTATATTTTTCAATACCAGCTGTTTTCATCTAAATTTGCTATTCAGATTCAGATTCCAATTTCAATCTTAATGAATAAACCCTAAAATAAATGTCTAACTTTATCCAATATAGTTACATTGAAAACAATCGATAGCTGACGGCTGAGCGTTCACTAAAGCGTGAATTGCCTGGAATTCAATATGAGTTTGTAATTTTAGGCCAAAACAGACAAATTGGAAAAATTCTCATGTATTGGCTATTTTGCAATGCAGTTTGTAACTCATTAAAATTCAGAATGAATTCCCAACAACTCACAAGTCTCTCACTTTTGTATCCATCCCCAACTCCACACTGGAGAAGGTGAATGTACCATTATCTACTAATGTATTATTATTATTATTATAATTATTATTTTATTATTTATATCACACCAGCAAATTTCGTAGTGCTGTACAATGGGTGGACTAACAGACACATGTTTGTAACCAGACAAGTTTGATGTACAGGAACAGCGAGGGGGAGGGCCTTGCTCAATGAGCTTACATGCCAGAGGGAGCGGGGTATAGTGACACAAAGGGTAAAAGTAGGGATACGAAGTAGGATGTTAGAAAAGTATTCACCAAGGGCTTAGTAGGTGATTTTCGATAGTTGCAGGAGAGGAGTCATGGGAGGTGGGGGGATAAAAACCTGCTAGCAGTTTAATTGATATGCTTTCTTGACGAAGTGAGTTTTCAATTAATTTTTGAATGAGTGGAGACTGTGCGAAAGTCTTACAGAGAAAGTAAGGGCCCTAGTTATTTTTAGAGCGTGTTACAGCAGTGATTAGAACTTCATGGCCTGGTAGATAGGCTGCTCCCTATAAGCACTTTTCTGTTACAGGCAAGTATCCTTCCACTATAACGTGTTCTTTTGTTGCTGTTTTTCTTACATTTTCACATATTTTTAGCTTTGCAGTAAGCAAACTACCTCAAGCACAAAACATTCACGCACAAAGCATTCACACACCGAGGACAGTATTCACACACTAACCACAGCATTCACACACTGAGGACAGCATCCACACACTGAGGAGAGCATTCACACAATAAGGACATCATTCACACACTGAGGACAGCATCCACACACTAACCACGGCATTCACACACTGAGGATAGGATTTACATACTAACTACAGCATTCACACACTAACCACAACATTCACACACTGAGGACAGCATTCACACACTGAGGACAACAGTCACACACAGAGGACAAGATTCACACACTAACCACAGCATTCACACACTAATCACAGCATTCACACACTAACCACAGCATCCACACACTAACCACAGCATTCACACACTGAGGGCAGCATTCACACACTAACTACAGCAGTCACACATTGAGGACAGAATTCACACACTAACCACAGCATTCACACACTGAGGACATCATTCACACACTAACCACAGCATTCACACACCGAGGACAGAATTCATACACTAACCACAGCATTCACACACTGAGGACATCATTTACATACTAACCACAGCATTCACACACTGAGGACAGCATTCACACACTAACTACAGCAGTCACACATTGAGGACAGAATTCACACACTAACCAGAGCATTCACACACTGAGGACATCATTTACATACTAACCACAGCATTCACACACCGAGGACAGAATTCATACACTAACCACAGCATTCACACACTGAGGACATTATTCACACACTAACCACAGCATTCACACACTGAGGACAGCATTCACACACTGTGACGGAGCTCCCTGTACCCTGGCTGGGTACCTCTGCCGACGGATACTCCTAGTGCTTCTCAAGGACCATCAGCACCGCACCAGACACCATATGCGCTGCAGACTCCATGAACCGCCGTAGCTTGGTTGGGGTCTCGCCGTCTCCTTTCCATCCTGGTCCAACCTATGGATCCAGGACCGTGTGGGAAGCAATGATATAGCGGTTATAGCTGCTCCCTACAACACGAGACAAGGCTGATCTGGTTTATTGCATTTCTTTTATACAGAGTTTCAGGCTAGGGGCACACCCCCTGGACCTGATGGAACACATGGACACAAGGAACATAAACCAATGAGAACAATAATTATTACTGTAACACTCCCACATACAGTCAGCAAGCCCTCCCCTCTGCCTGTGATATAATAAACAAAGACAATAGACTAACTCAATTAACTGCAGAAAAAACACATTTTTACAAACAAAAAGTACCCCAAAATACAACACATCCCCTGATAGCCCCGATCTGGGTGAACAACATATCCAAAAATCACCCATATGGGTTCAGGAATTTCCTGGAAGTCTTATTTTTTGCCCCACCGTGCACATGGTCCCATACCCAAAACAGTTCCATACACGCGACGACAAAACACTGCTAGACAATTTAAGATGGCCACCACCACATGTTTGAATCTGTTCCAGTTAAAAGTCCATGGGGCAGAAACAGTACTTTGAACATGGGTTATCACAGGGCCCGTAGTCCCAGGTTATGAGGCTGGCAAACAGGCCCCTCCAAAAACCAGTGGCAAAGTTGCTTTCATCACACACACTAACCACATCATTCACACACCGAGGACAGCATTCACACACTAACCACAGCATTCACACACTGAGGACATCATTCACACACTAAAAATGAAAATCTAGTGCACTCCCTTATCTACTAAACAGATGCACTCACCTAAACATGCATAAATAGGGTGCTGCTGGGGGCCAATAAGTACAGTAAAAATGAAAATCCAGCGCACTCCCTTATCTACTAAACAGCTAGCAAAATCTGTTAGCACCAAAGTAGATGTTTAGGTGAGTGCAGCCAACCCCTTGTTTTCTCATATATATTTAGGAGTCTAGTCAGCCCCTTGGTTTTGCACCCCTCCCTGTCACAGGTGTCTCGTCTCAGGACCCTATTTAGCCTTGTACTGCAGAGAACTCGAGATGGTAGCATTTCCCCAAGTGAGTAGCTAATTTAGCCGACATTTGGCTGTTAGAGTAGGACCTGCCAAAGATAGGAAACATTGACGTTGTGGCAGGCTTATGCAATGTATGATCATATAATGTAACTGAACCCCCATTATGTTTTGCCTAGATTAGGTGTTTTTAATAAAACTAACGAAATTGGTCAACACCAAAATAGCTGTTTAGTAGATAAGGGAGTGCTCTGGATTTTCATTTTTACTGTACTTATTGGCCCCCAGCAGCACCCCATTTAAGCATGTTTAGGTGAGTGCAGCCAACCCCTTGTTTTATCATTCACACACTGAGGACATCATTCACACACTGAGGACATCATTCACACACTAACCACAGAATTCACACACCGAGGACAGCATTCACACACTAACCACAGCATTCACACACTGAGGACAGCATTCACACACTAACCACAGCATTCACACACCGAGGACAGCATTCACACACTAACCACAGCATTCACACACCGAGGACAGCATTCACACACTAACCACAGCATTCACACACTGAGGACATCATTTGAGCACTATCCACTGTATGCACACTGCTTCACCATTTTATGCCCATCATTCACAAGACACTTATACATTACATACAACATTTCAACACTACACATTCACACAAAGTCCTTTCCAAGACCAGAACATTCACACACTGTCCCAACATTCAAATACACACGTTCATTCACTGAGAACTGGAAACTTTCTGTTCTATTATTTTCCTTAAATGTCGTACAATTTTCTTTTTGGCGGGGAAGGGTGAGCGGGTGGGGTGGGGGTATGGGGCAACAGGAATCCTGGACCTTCAGGGAAATGTAATTTGCCTGGAGGGGAGATGCCTGTCAACGTTAAACAGAGAG